TCTACCTACGTAACTACTAACAAACAATAAGCTTAATATATTGTATACAAGCACAACTAAGTTGATAACTTATTATTTAAACTCTTACTAAAATATTTATACTTGCGATACTGTGGTAGTTAAGGTAATACCAATCTTATGTACATTATTTCTGCCTGTCGTAATGTTTGCTTATAAATAAATAAAGTTTAAAAAAGTTTCAAAGAGAATTTATGTAATACTTGTACTTACTACTCTTATTATATATATATATATATATATATATATATATTATAAAATCCTTTAACTCCTGGGAGGAGCATAGGGCCGCAATACTCGTATTAAGTGGAAAATATTATGCACTGCTGCCAAAAACAATCTATTTGGCTAACATCACTAGATCCTACACACGTTTATTGAACGTGTGTACCTTGGGCGATTTTATTTTTTAACGATTAATGTATGGAATCTATCATCAAGCTGATAAATATTTTCCTTCTGACTGTTTGATATTTGCAGAAAAAATATTCAGAGCATTTAGAATAGTATTACGAGTATTTTGTGAGAAATTTTTTACTCCATATAACATATACTTATATGGACCAAAAAATCTCTATAAAATATAACATATACTTATATGGAGTAAGAAATCTCTCACTAAGTTAGATATGTCTTTTGCTGTTCAGTCGTGATCATTCCCAGAGTTTATGTTCAGATACTTAAACAACTATTTCATTTGAATAACTGATAAAAATAACTGATATAAATTGGTTTTTAATTAGCTTCCAACTTACTTACTTAGTTACTTACTTACTTAGTTGGTCATTAGAGACCTGTGTTGTGTGTTCTTGTCCGTAATCAGTTCCTTGCTGCTGCCGGTATGTAGAACCGATTGTTTTCATATTGTGGGTAACTCCTTCTTTCCACAGAATATGGGACGTCCTTATTCGCATTTCCCACCAGCGGGTACCGAATCAAATACCTTTCCAACCAAAGATTTATTTCTTAGGCACGACATGACCAAATCACTGACGCTGCTAAATTTGTATACGCCACAATGTAAACGTCACGGTATAGCTCATACTCGCTACCATCCAGTAAGAGACTATACAGAGGAGAATAACTGGTTAGTATTGGAATATTTTATGCCTAAGGTCTTGAATTATTCGTGAACCAGTTCATTTCTTAATATTTCACAAATATCATTATACTTCAACAAAATCTACAGTAGTTTACAAAGAGGAGTTAATAACTATTTAAGCCACTTGTTGTTTAGCCTATGATAAAAAGTGTATGTTATTTCAAACTAAACACTACTTTTAAAAAGTTAGCATTTAGTAAGATCACTTATTGACTGTCCTTTTAGATCTCTTAAAGGGTGGCATCGAAAAGATTAGTTTCGATCGTTACACAAGTTGTGTAAAGCAAAGTATAGCACAAATGTGCGGAAAAAAAAATTTCCCAAGATGGTTGCGTTATTAAAAGTGTACGGACCTGTCTACGGAAAAACCACTAGTGCAAGCTAAATAGACTAATTATAATAGACGCATATTTTTAAGATACACATGTTTAATTTTAATTCTATAAATGTTAATGAAAATTTTGTCTGATTTTTGAAAATTTTGATGAGTTAGAATGGTTTACATATTGCTTATCATATTGGTACTATCCATAGTGTTTAAACTACGTATAGTACTCAGGAATTCTTTAATTACCATATTCTTGAATTCTTTAACTGAAACATTTCGATAAAAGTTTTATCAAGTTTAAAAAATATATAATTTACGATTTTAAATAGATTAGAGATAGATTTTAATAACCAATATATTAATAACAAATGTATTAATGTATTAATTACCAAAAAGAAAAATAATTTAAGTTCAGAAGCAAACATACTTCAGATTGCCCAAATGTTAGACAATTTTAGAAATGCCACAGAGAGAGGCATTGCCTATTACTGACTCATGTAATAGGTGGCCTGATTACAAATACCTTATTTTAAAAACTTTATTCAATTTAGTCCCAACTCATATTTGTTACACTTCAGTCATAGTGAAATATAAAGTAGTTGTATTCATCATTCATTTTTTTATTTTTAAAAGTTCCAATCAATTTGAACTTCATCTTATACGTATTATACTCTTGTACCAAACTTCGGTATAGTAGAATACATAATAATTTTTTCATAATAATAATTTATATAAGAAAAGGGTAGTGTAGTTTAAATATAGTTTCTTTATCATTCAGACAAAAATATTTAAATTATTTGCTAGACAAAATGTTTTCCAAAAGTCGCGTATACGCCAAGTTGACCTCAAATTAATAATTGATCAAAATATGTATAGCAAACAGTTCGAGCAATTAAAATGACTGCATACAGAGCCATTATTTAATAATTTCAAAAGAATATAATGATTTATGTATATATATAAAAAAATGTCTATGTAAATTGCTACAACAAAATAATTACATTTATGGGGAAAATATATTGCTGGAAATGCGAAACGCGTGCAACTCCCACATAAATCGGAATTGCTAATGGCAAAATGACCTACAGCGGTAAATGAAATCATGCAAACTTACAACGAAGTACACAAAAAAAAACTGACATTATTTTCAGTAGAAGGCTTTAGTCTATAAAAATTCAAATTAAGAAATAGAATAAAAACACTGAACAATTACTAGAAAAAAATGTTTTTAGAATGTCACGTATACGACAAGTTGAAAATTAACAAAAACAAAAAAATACTCAATAGTTTTATTATTAAATAAGATATAAAAATGGTGTGCCTTAAATCTAGTTAAATCGTTCTAATAAAATGAGTTTTTATATAAAAACTATATAAGTTTTTATAAGAAGTATAAAATTCTAACTATTAGAAAGCATCTCAGTTAATTGTGTTGCTTTAAGTTTTTATTACATTAATTTATATTAAATTTCCACTTTAAAACTTTAAGCAGTTTGACTGTATTATATTTTATTATTATTATTTATATGTATATATATTTACTTTTTTATGTCTAAAAATGTTACAAGCAGATAACTAATAATTTCCTCCACCCACATTTAGAGGTTACATTCGAAAGGACGACATGTTTAAACAAACCGAACACTACAAAAACAAAAATTTTTTGATAGAATATGAATAGAAAAATTCTTTAGTAAAATCTCTCCTAACCAAATTTATAAATGTTCTCAATAGTAAGTGTAAACAATCACTCAAAAATTTCCTCTTTCTCTATCTGTGTTCTGTTTTCTGTTCTGTTCTGTTCTGTATTTTTATTCTCTTAGCTCAACAGCGCTGCCAATGTTATTCAGCAGAATAAACTAACCTACATCAACAGTAAAACCTACATCTGCAAAGCTGGCATACTCAATGAAATTACAAATACATGAAAAGTCTAAAATAATGAATGAGCATTCGCAAGACTGTGCGAATAAATTTTAAATATAAATTGTTAGTGAAACTTTAAACTATTAACATTAAAAATATTATAATTTTATTTAAAATATTTCAAATAAACTAAATAAATTAATTTGTTAAATTAAAAAATGTGAAAACTAAATTTGAAACAAAAAAGCAGTAATGTTGTGTGGTGTATTTAAAGACCTTTACTCGAACTTTATTAGCATCTACAAATTTCCCATAAAAACAACAATAATAATTAAATTTCTAAAAGTAAAGTGGATGTGATGTATGATGTGTAGTGTAACTGAAGATCTTAACTCAAAGTATCTATAACAATTTTATAAAAATACCATAGAATACCATTAATTTTTAAACTATTACATAGCATAATGTCCAACAACTTCTTAAAAATGACCTTAATTAAGTAAACCTAAGATAATAGAGAAATATAAGTGTCTATACTCAATGTACACTCTACAACAAAATGCAACTATACAAACTACAAAATGACATCTATGAATTTTCCAATTTTTAGTGAAAAAATAATCGAAATGTATATGAACTTTTAAAAAAAAACTTTTATGTGAAATTAGACTGTGACGTTAGTGCGAAATATTTACGTTCGTTTATCATATGTGAAAGTTTTCCAAATTTGCTAACTACTCGTACGAGCGCTGCAGTTCCTTAACTGTCATTAACTGTCGTCATTTTTTACCTCTTCTTAAAAGCATCTTTCATTGTCAGTGTCAATAGGCCAAAACTAATATCAGCTGTTCACACATTCGTTAAAACAGCTCAACTCAACTCAACAGCATCTTTGTTGTGCGCTATTAAAATACGCGGAAATATAATTGATTTTGAAGAGCAGTGCAAACTTACTCAAGCTCTTATCTCAAGCTCTCACTCAAATCTCACTCGAAATCTCTTCCTCACTGTAACTGTAACTATAACTGGAGCGTTTATCCTTCGTTTCCGTTTACAAATAGACTACGCATAATCTCAATTTTACATTTTCGTTTTTCTTTCTTTCGTATTCTATTGTTTTCGTGTGTGCGGGTGGAAACATTTAACAAAAAAAAAAACAATATCCTCGAATTCGAATAGTTTGTACATATTCACAGTGAGCATATGTAAGTAAAACTTGTTTAAATGTCGAAAATCGGCGCTGCTGCTACTGCTGCTGCCATTGCTGCTGCAGAGAATTTGTACTGCAAAAATATTTATTATATGTTTCGAGTATGTGCAGCAAAACAAATTAGTTAACTGCAACAGACTCTCAGTCGCATTTCATTCCACTCACACCCTCGCAAAAACCCAAATATAAGCTGCTGCTGCTGTAAAAACAACAACAAAGTATTTATATAGTTTCAACACAACGACGACTACTGCTCACATAATTCAACGAACGAACGAACGACAGACGTACTCGTTTGTTATTATTTTTTATTTTTATTATTTTTAATTTTTCATTCTATAAAAGAGCAACAACGTCAACGCTGGCAACATACATTCTAACGCCAATAACGACGACAACGACGACAACGTCGGCGCAGCCGCCGTCGTTGCTGGTTGTTCGTGCGAAGCAGCTACGAGTGCGAGTGACTACAATCGTCCTGTGTGCACGTACAATAATATGAGGAGTGGCAGTTCAGAATTACTACTCGAGCAGCAACAACAAGAGTTACGCTTACGTAAATTACGAGAACTGGCTCCAAAAAAGAAAAATGGCAATCGGCGCTTTCGATCGTGGCGCGAACGTGCACGTTTCTATGGCACGTCAACACTTGCATTCTTTTCGGTGACAGCAGGTGCTTCATTATTGTTCCTTGTGCCGCTTTATGTCGATCCGGCGATATCGACATTAAGTCACGATTTTATCGAAAACCCAACACTTTGCACAACAACGCGTCGCGAAGATCTAATCGGCATATTCAATTGTTCGTGGAGTTCGTGTCGCGAGGGTTGCACATCTGATCTATATCGTTGTGTGCATATATATGTGACGTTTATCGAACAAAATATCACTATACCAGAGAATATGACCGACTATACTAATTATACGTCCGAATGGGAACAATCCGAAGAGGCAACATTGTTAGTGAATATAAAAGGATGCGGATATCCGCCAACAGTGACTTGTAAGAAATTTAACTCTTACTATGGTATTGAGGGTGCGATATATCCGTGTTATTATTCGCGTAAAAATAAAACTGTGGTACTGACGTCCTACAATCACGACGATCAAGTCGCAATGATAATACATTTTTTTGCAGTGCCATTTGTGATAACAGTTATTTCGTCAGTTGCGCTATGTGTAATGCATTGCGATTGTCGATGCAAAAAGGATCGAAGCCATCGAAGAAACAGACCACAAAACAGAAGACCACGCATAGAAAATCTTAGGTAAGTTTCCTTCTCTAAACAACTGATCATAACTAAATTTTATTTTAATAAATATGATAAATATTATTTAATATTTATAATAAAATCTTCGACATCATTTTATAAAATTTCCAAAGTGTTTGTTTTTGTTGAGCATGTGAACTTACTTATATAGATAATATTATGTTTTAATGCAACTCCATTTAAAAACAAGTATTCAGTGCCAAAATAGCACAAAAAAAAACCAATAAAGAAAAACAATAAAATGAAAAAAAATGAAATAGGAATAAAAAATAACTTACTGATTCTACTAAAATATGAAAAAAAAATTCCACATAGAAAATATTTTTGTTTAAAAACATTCAATATTAACAACCGTAGTGCTTGCTTATTGCACTAAAAATTTATTGTATCACTTGTTGAAGTAATTAAGTAATATATTTAAAATGTTACAATGCATGTGGACTCCACTATTAAATTGAGTTCACGTCAAATACGTTGAATTAAATAAAATTTAATTATTATAAACAAATTTAAAAAATGATAAAAACCATTGAAACTAAAATGTAAAAAAGTGCTGATTAAATGCATTAAAAACACAAAATGTAAATGGGCCAAATTTTAAAAATATAATATTTAGATAAATGTTGAATTATATATGATAATACTCACAGCAAAGCAGAGCGCTACGACAAATGAAGCAAGATATACACTCTTGTAACTTAACATTTTAATATATATAATAAAAAAATCTGATTGCAGTAATATTTAAAACATTCGAAATAAATTTTAATTAGTTGAATGAAATTATATATTATATACAAAATAATTAATATATTATATAAATATATTTAATAATATGTTATATATATTACATATTATATATATATTATATTATAATTATATGCAATTATATGGTTTTATATGCTATAATAGCCTTTTTTACTTAGAAAAACAAAATAAAATAAAAATAAATACATAATAAAAAATCATAATTTCATTAATATTTGAAAAAAATCTTCCAAATGAAACAAATTCTTCTTTTTATACTAATGCTTTAAACATAATTTTAAACAAAATTTTAGTCCAACTTTTAAAGTATTTTGTGGATGCTAAATACCAATGATTGTGACATCACAATCGGCCTGGGTTATTTTTTTTACTTTTTTTTTTACTTTTATAGTTTAACCCCTTTTCTATCACACAACAAAAAATTAATCACATTTCTTTTAATTGCTTTTATAGACTCTTTAAAAACCAAAACATTTATTATTATTTTTTGTGACAGTAAAATCTTCTATATTTGGAAAGTACTTTAATAACACAATGAAAGGATTTGGTTTTATGCCATGACTAAAAGCATAATTAATTTAAATTTTTAATATTGAACCAACTTATAGCTTTGATCGAGATCTTCCGCAAAAATTCTTTTTAACTCTATAATAATAATAATAATTTAATAAAAGATACAAAATAGAATTTTTTTATATAATAATTCATCTAATATATATTAAATATAATGATCCAGTTACATAATATTTTTAATCTGTTCGTTAAATAAGAATAAAAAATTTCAAAAAAAAACTAAAAGCATTTGAGGAAAAAGTTTCTTGTAAAAACATTAGCTCAATGTATCATTGGCACTACTTTCAATATTAAACCCGTTCAGTGTATCCTCCTCCTTGGGCTCACTTCTATTATCTTTACTGCTATTGATGTTAGTACTATCATAAAATGGAAGTTATCAAAAATTTTATAGTGAAGAAAATTGATATTTCATTAACATAAATACATCAGCTCCTCAAACATCACGTCACATGGAAACATAAATCACAACATGACCTAAATTTGTTATTATAATAATAGGATATATTTACATGTCTTCGTTATTACATTTCACGTTATCGAACTCTGAACATTACATTCCTTTACTCAACAGACTTAGAAATCATATCTTTGAACGAAACATTGTATCAGTTTAGCAACGAATGTATCTATAACATTAAGTCTTGATTTACATCTTATAAATTTTTTAATACTATTGTTGTTCAGAATGTCCATTTCCTTTAACAATTTACTTTCAATAAATAGATTTTGTGGCATTAATTGGTTGACAATTCCTTCCAAACGCTTTAATCATAAATTAAAGACGTCGACAATTTATTGGCATGTCTGCAAGGACTGCCTACTTATTTCTTAGCATAACAGTCCGGAGCGGAATAGGGCTTCCTTAATTATTTCCCTCAATTGTTCTGCAGTAATCGTAACTCTTGTCCAGTCTGTACCAAAACCAGACTCTTCAATTACTGCCGAAGCTGTTTTCTTAAAAAACTATACTTAGATGCAGTTTAACAAACAGAGCATTGTGATATAGTTTATCATGTGGGAGATCAGATCTACTTTAGCATTTTAATAATTTTTTAATAATCTAGCATATACCTATATCTAGATTTGTAATGGCTTGATAGTTTCAGAAAACTATAAGCAATATTTTATGTTTTATAAACTATATATGATTTATTATTATTAAATTCACTGTGGAGTACATATAGAGTTTTCAACTGTTTCGCGATGAATCACTTGAACTTCTTGAACTTCTACAGTAACACGATTTATGATTAACAGTGCAATATTATAGTATTCTACTGTATACATATCTTTACTGGTGGTTATACATTTTCTACCAAAGTGCTTCAAATAATTCAACTATTCACATTCAACGTTAGGTTTTGCAGACTTTTAATTTTTGAATTTAAAAACGAGGATAACGATTGTCCAAATTGGCAGTTACATAACAACATCGCAAAGAATAAATTTTTGAATTTACCTGTACTTTGGAAAAACAAAAATTCTGTAATGTACATGTGTACAAAACTCGTGTAAATCATTTAAGCTCAAAAATTGTTTCAATATTTAAGTAATCCTCAACATTAACACCAGAAACAAATTTGTCTCTCAGGTAAACAGAATATTTTTTGCTTGGATGTTTGTACATTTTACTTGAATATTTTATATTCCATTTTCTACACCTTAAAATTAATGAAGTTTACATTCTTTCCTTATAGAACCATCGATTTACCAACACCCAAATAACAACAATTGTAGCATATTTCGCTGCTCTATTACTGTGGGTATGAGACGAATGTAGTCCACCGTAATTTAGTTCCCAATTTGATGTAGGTGATTTAGCCCCAAAACATTGATTCACTATGCCATACCAAAAGAAAAGGCACTCTCAGACGAAATGAATATACAATACCACATTCGTTTGGGCTTTATTCCGTATCCGTGTCTGTGTCTGTGTCAGTTATTTTTAATAGTCCAAATGGTCTTCCCACTAACTCCCGCATAGTTAAGTGCGAGCAAGTGGCGCTATTTGTTTTAGTTGTATGCGTCAAATTTGAATTATTTACTAATGACAGTTGAAACGTGTACCTTTGTGTCGCACTTAATGGGCGAAGCTATAAAAACCGAAATAAAATAAAGTCCCCGGTTTTCACGCAAATACGAGTATATGGAAATCGTTCTCATTCTTTGCATTATCTTCGCAATAGTTTTTGTTTTCATTTCGCTGTTGTTTGCAGTAAGTTATTCTGAATAATTTATGGGTTACGGCATCGAAATTATGTGCTCATGCAATGCATATGAGACATGCAGGAGTCACTTCCTACACCATTAGGCGAAAAAAATAAGGAGCTTACAACAATTTCTGATGATTGATAATATCTTTCTGATGACAAGTTTTTATTGCTTTCGATTTTTGGCTTAAATTTTGCGTTTCACCATTTTCGGTATATTTATTTAAATATTTTAATATATTTAAGTAGTTTTTCTGTATTACAAACGTATTACTCTTAATTGCTTTCGTTACTGTGTAGTTCAGAGGCTCCCAACCGGAGGTCCGCGAGATAGTTACATAGCTTCTAGTTTCTCCACTAAGTCCTCACTTATTAGAAAATAAGTACAAAAAATGTCTATGTAATTATATACCTATTCCTATGTAATTATATGGCCTATATAATGTATCTATGCACTTATACAATTCATTATACGTTATACCACAAATGCATAAAGTATATTTAAATAATCATACAGTTCATTATTCTTAAATTTTGTGGTCCCTACTAAAAACAAAAATATCATAGTGGTCCTTACTCAAAATATGGTTGAGAACAACTAGTGTTGTTCTATGAGTATCTGTTATCAAGTCTTGTTTAAAGATAAAAATTATACATATATATATATATATATATATTTATCCATTCGATTTCATACTTTGAGCTATAGAATTTTTTATTCCCGTGAACAGCATATTGCAGAAATTCTTAGTCAATAGCATAACAATTCAAATCACATTTCAAAGTCCTGACTTCTCCTCCACTATACAATTCCATTCTTTGCTAGTGTCCTTTCAGTTTTATATATTTCTTTTCTGTAGCTTTTATCATTCTGAATGATTGTGAAGAATCCAAATGTAACCATGAACCCAGCTAAATAAGTCATTTATCTTTATTTCCTCTTTTCAACTCTTTATTTATATAATGCATATGTTTTGAAATTCTAGAAGAATTCGATATATTGCTTGAGCTCGCTTTCTTATGTGCTGAATAGTATTAGTCTACAACAAGATCCTGAGATCCTGTTGTGGATATGCATCTCCAGAAAACAAAGTCTATATTCTCACAAACAGTTACATAACCATAAAAGCTATTTCAGTGAACTATCTATATCTCATCCAAGATAGTGATATGATGAAGACGACTTATTAACTTGTAGGTGAATTCGATATAAATCTTGTTCTAGGTTTCTTGTGAACTAGAACTTTGGTGCTTCTTGTGTGACAAAACAACTCCAAATTTAAAATATTGAAAGTTTTGAAGGAAAAAGATGAATATATCTAAAAAATTATCGGTTATCACTATACTGCAGAACAATAAAAATGCAGGTGGTGCTTACCCTATCGGAACTCTTGCAGATTGCATCATTTAAAGAAGAATCACCAAAATATATGTTCTGTCGTA